TGGGTCTGAAAGACCCAGAAATAGGCTGAAACGGAGTAGGGCCTGCAGGCCCTCGTTTTTCAGTTTTCAGGCTGAAATGACCGGGGCCTGTAGATCCTAAGTTTTAGGCTTTTAGGGTGAATGTCCGGGACGGGTCCTACAGGGCCCGTGTGGCTACGCAGTATGCCACACCTAACAAGCACATGTCATGTCCAGGAAGTCGCTGCAACTTTGAAGGCGGTGGTATTGCTGCAAATATACTCGAAGTTGTCCCGTGAGCAGACTTGGGTAAATGAGCTGGGGTAGTAAACAAATAAAAATAGGTATTATAGTACCATTAAAGAAAGGAGCACCAGTGGAAACTTCCCGTCAAAAACACACAGGACGAATTGCAAATTGTGGCGACGACTGCGCTAATCTTGCGCTAAGTGCGATTAGGGCTTGATAGAGCATCATCGTACATGTCGAGTTATCGCTGTTCCGGTGCTATGGCCATGGCGGTTTTCTACAGGCACTCTTTAGAGAAGGTGCCCTTCTCTAGACTTGTGGGTAGGTGAAGTGGCCGGATTTGTTTCGGGGGAGAGTTGTGACCCTCCGAAGGAAGATAAGGAGTGGAATAATGGCAGAGTTGCCAGGCGGAAGATGGAGCTGCTCACCACCCGGCAAGACTGGGATTCCTCGAAGATGCCTGGTAATCTATTCTCTCGTATCTCTGGGGCGGGGGGAATTATGAGTTGATACACTGACTTATCCCTATTTATAAGAGGCACTACTATATATCGTATTCGATTGGGGTTTATCATTATTAGTTCGTTTGTTTGTTGCTATTATTAATTCATTTGATTGTTGCTATTTGAGCTCGTCAGCATGGGGGAAGTTCCTCCTGGTCAGACGCTCCCTGCTGCTCCAATGAGTCAGCAGGAGAAGGAGAGGATCAAAGAAATCCTCTCCGACTGTTACAACGAGGGGCTACTCCCTGATTCACTCAACCTTGAGCCCGTTGAGGTAGGGGAAGACTTTGTTAAAATTGTGGTCAACCCCTCCCTGTACAGGGTTCACGAAGAATGGCTGAACGAGAACGCGGTGTCTGTTTTTTTTGGGGATGATTCAAAATCCCTTCCTGTCTCAGTCAAAATACGACTTATTCGTATTTTTGAAAATGGGTGGGCAAATAGCAAAGAAATCCAAGCGGCCCCCAAACGTGGAGTCTTCCATAATGAAGGCTTCAACCTAATCATGTATGTGGCATCAGCAAAGGCAATAGCAGAATGGATGCTGAGAAAGAAAGAAGACAAAATTGAATTAGATGGTAAAACTTACTCGATCTCCTTTCGCCCCTGGATGTCTGAAAATGAGCTGTTCGAGTGGAGGGAAGCTCATAGGTACAATTTTTTTTGGATCAGGTGCATGTACGTTCCGGTGGCTGCCTTGCCCTATTTAGCTACTGCGGTCAAAGAAGCATTCGGAAAAATTTTGAAGAAACATGACACCTATTCGGATCCTACGTCCCCCGAACTCGTCAATGTTCGTTTTGACTTGGAACCAGGTGCTTGCATCCGCTATAAGCCCTACATGGTGATTGACATGAAGGAGGGAGGGTATGTGGAACTCGAAGTGGTCCATGCCCAGACCCCCTGGTGTAAGGTATGTCGTCAGCATTTCCACTCCGATAAGGACGATACCTGTCCTGCAAAATCCGAACAGAATGGCCAGAATCTTCAGAAGAAGAGCAAGGGCCCGAGGAAGGATGGCTCGCTAGGTGGCTCTGGGAAATGGTTGAAGAAGGGTGAGAAAGAGGATAAAGGGAAGGAGAAGGGAAAAGAAAAGGAAAAGGAATCAGAGGGGGAGGAGGAGAAGGAGAAGGAGGAGCCTGACAAGCAAAAAGAGGGTGGCACCAAACGACATTAGGACATGACCGGCGCGAAAGCCGGTGAGAAGTCAGACAAGGTTTCGACTGAAGGCCAGAAGTCTGAGGGGCAAGAAGGAAAGAAAGGAGAAGGAGAGTTTGATAAGGAAGATGAGGATATGAGGGAGGTTGAGGACGGGGACGAGGGAGGACAGGGGGAGAATGGAGTTGGGAAATCC